AACATTAAAATAGTTATATTATTAGTAATAATGAATACTAGTGCAAATTGCTCAAGAGTCAAAAAACAGTCAAAACTGCACATTCTGAATAATCTGTGAAGATTTTAAAACATAAGTACTGTAAGTCCCAAATCAAAATCTAAGTGAAATATCTAGAAATTCTTTTTCCTATTCCTGTGTACGTTTTAAAAAGCCAGTAAAGCTACACAGAAATGAAAAGACTCTTTTAAATCACAGCCTTATATAAAAATATTTTTTTCCTATTTCAAATTCTTAGAAGTTACTACTATGTATTCATTATCTATTGGATTATATTGTGTCTTTCTGGAATTTTGGCAAAGATTCTTAAAGTACATTTTTTTCTCCTTTGCAGTTGGTCGGTTTTGTGTATGCCTGTTATGTGATCAGTATTTCCATGGAAGAAGAAGACACCTGTAAGTACCCTTATATCTACCCGTGAGTTCATTTTGGGTAAGATATGGCTTCCAAAACTAATCATTTTGGAATCTAAAACTTTCATATTTGGAATCTAACATGATTTAACTCAGCATAGTAAAGTTATAATCAAAAGTTGACAGACTGAACTGCATCCCGATAAGGTGACACTAAATATTGAAACTCTCAATCCAAGTTGTGGGATCATGCACAGAGACTCAGAGTGTACAGATTGCCGTCATGTCATATCTTTGCAACCTTTCATCAGAGACCTAAATATTATGCTGAGTAGATAATCAGCAAGTGTTTTATCTATCAGCAGTTGTAAGGATACTAGTGGCAGAATTTCAAAGTCTGACTAATAGTAATAATATCAATACAACAATATATTATAGCAAGATCTGTGTGTATATAAACTAAATAAGATGCTATGAGGAAACTAAAAATCACAAGCTTCAAGGTGGAATGTAAAAAAAAAAAATACAAGAGATGCTAAAAAAGAATTAATAGGATGCTTAAAAGTTAAGCCATGTTTTAGCAGAACACCCAAATAAAAACCATACTTTGACCTGAAGTTATGTGATAGAGATTTAGCAACATAGGTCAACAAATGGCATTTATTGAGCACCCACTAATGGATAAAATACTCCTAGGCATAACCCTGTTATGAGCTCATGTAATACCAAAGAAAATTTTAATTTATTTTTTAAAAATGAATGATTTCAGATAAACAAACTGTACCTAACCAAACCAAAGATTTGGTTATATCATTGCATTACTGTTTGAATTGTAAAATGGACTCTAACAAATGAGACTAAGTAGCTAGCCATTTAACTTCTTTCTGTTAAATAAAACATAACTTCAAAGTGGTCTGATGAAAGCCCCATACCAAATAGATGCAATGCATGGTATATGAACTGGAATCCAGTCGACAATAGAATCTCCTCTCAATTTATGTGACCAAATGAAAGAAATATTAGACCCTGAGATTACACTTGTCAGGCAGTGAAAACACGCAAATGGATTGCATCATATATTTTATGCTTATTGGGGGATTTTTTTTTAAATGCTAGATAAGCCAAAAAGTTTTTGACACTTCAAAAGTGTAGTTGTAATGACAACACTTTTCACTTTGAAGTTAACTTCAAAAACTGTATTTTCAGGAGTCTTACTGGTAGTTCCGCAATCTAATGAAGTTAATGTACAAAAAGCAGCAGCATGCTTCCAAATCACAGCTAAGACAGGCCACACAGTCAAAAGCAATGGTTGAACATGAACTATTTTAATTGGAATTGGGACTTAAAGGAAGTTACTGGAATTAGAGCTGAATAAATACTTCAAAAAACCCTGATATATTGATAAGTTTCAGCTGAATCTTTTATAAAGCACTTTTGAATAGATATCATAAAAAAGGTCTTCTTTCTTTTCCTCCTCATTGAACTGGTTAGAGGCTCTTGAAAGATGCCAATGCACGGTCCTACATTACTGTGGGAGAAAAGGCAGATTAGTCAATAGTCTTCTTTTATCTAGTAGAATAAACATATAAAATACTTTTCCTAGAGACTTATGATGTCGAGTTAAACTGAGAAATGCAAAATAAGAGGCTCATTTAAATGGGTAAATGCTTTTTTTAATATTCTATCAGCCTTCTTTTTGAGTAATAATGTCAGTGTATATAGATTGTATTGCTACTAGAAGATAATTGCAATTCCATTGACTTTGATGTCTTTAATTAGCTTAAGTTTCTCTGTAGAAATCTCTGAATCAGCTATTTTAATACCCATCAAACTAGGATTGAAGCGGCTGCTAGCAGCCTATTCTATTAATCGTTTAATTTTAGTGTTTGTTATTAGGGCCATACATTAAGTTACTGAGAGACATCTGGATATAGTAGTTGTATTGCTATCAATTCAAACAATACTTAGAATCAGATCGAGCCTTGGGTGCTCAAAAGAAAGTACATATGACCAAAACCAAGCAATCATAAACCTTTAGTCTGATAGTTCTCAACTGAGGGTAATTTAACATTTTTTTCATTGAAAGAAGTAGAAATCAAAAGTGCAGATATAATTAAATTGTTCTAGGGTCTTCAGAAGGCAGATATGAGCAAAAAGGAATGTCTGAACCCAATTGCAATGATCTCATAGACTGGTAAAATTTGTGTCAACACTTAGCTTTAGGTGCAATAATGAACGGCCCTTTGCCTGTGACATTACCAACCCACTGCAAGGAAGACATGTCCTTTGAATTATTTTTCCAAAACATACACATAAAATAAGGAAACAATACTGGTAGCTTTCCAATTTGTCTAAGTATACTTCTGGAATGCTTATTCTGAAAATACGTCAGTTTTCTGGCAGACAACATATCATTTATAATTTTGATTCCTATTTGAACTAATGAAAATCTCTGCATTATTCAGAATGCAAAGCTAAGCTTCGTTCTTGGACTGAAAGCTGTCAGCTGGCCTTAAAAATTAATAACAGCCACCGCTTCTCTCCTCTGCACTGCCGAAGTGGATCTATGGGACTAACTTTTCAGACGGACGTTTCCGAAGGGTAATAAATGCTTGAGGAAACATTTATTTCCAGCCACCCATCTTCTGAGTTACCTCTCGGCCTCTTTTACTATTTCTTATAAAAATTATGATTGTAGGTCAAAGACAATGAAATAAAAAGCTCGTAAAAGGCAGAGTGCTAGGAGGGGTCAATGCTTTCCATCATTTGGTTTAATGAAAAAGCCTATTTGTATCGCTTCCTTTCATTTTTCATTTCTTTTTTTAAATATATCAATCTCTAAGAACACTTTTGAAAGATTGAAATCTTTAGTGTGGGGATGTGAAGCTTGAGTCTGGTGCCTGAGACCACTTGGCCACCCTGACACCCTGGAGACCAGATCTTTGGAATCTATAATCATAAAAAACTGTCAACATCTTATTTGTGAATCATCCACTGAAATGAATTTGCCAGCTTGTTACTACCTTGTCAGACTTACGAAAAACAATGTTTTTCATTCAAGGAAGTGAGGAGGCAAGGCACAATATGCTGAAAAATAGTGTTGTATAGACACCACCAGGCTTTTTCAGAGGGTCTGTTGATAGCACTACTCCTTCTGGTATTAGGTTGCAAGTTGCAACCGGACCATTTATTGGGGCTCACAAAGGCTAGTCTGGGTTGTCCATGTTGAATGATGGGAGAGAAAAATGTATTGAAAACCCTGTTTTTGAAAAGAAAATGTAGGTTCAATATTTCACACTGAGCAGCTCAAAATAGCTCTTTATACAATCATTTGGCCTTTGCTGGTGTACTTTTGAGGAACTTTTCACTGGAAGGAAGCATGACTATCAGAAAAACGTTCCGTATCTCTACTGTCCTAGAGGCACCCTGCTGGTCAGTGGTCAGGTATTTGCCCTTCTGCCCGTGAATGCCTTCTAAGAGGATAAGGTCATATTACCATAGTAATGATGTGAGTTGAAAATTTTTTAAAACTCTATCTCTTCCTAAGAATTTATGAGAGAAGTTAAAGGGAGAAAATTCAACTAGTTTGTTAATTTCCAAATATCCCTTCCTTGATTTAGAATGTGTGGAAAATCCTCAGAGAAGTAAAATGACCACAAGGTCGGGGACTGAGGGAAGGAAGCTGCAGAGGCCTGGATGATCCTCAGGATGGAAACTAGCCCACTGTTTTGCGCCCCTGGCAATGTACCGATATTCGAGGGTCAGAGCAGAGGACAATGTTGTGAGTCAAAGACAGAGAAATGTGCAGGACTAAGTAAGGGTGGTCCTGAAGCATAGTCAACATTTCAAAGCAGTCACCATGTTTTCCCAGTAAGCCATTAAGAATCTACCAGTTATTTTCTGTCAGTAACGGATTGGTTGCATGTAACTGTCCTAAAAGCTGATTTCTCAGTCAGCCTTACCAGAGCTCTGATCTAGAGCCTGAAACATTTCCCCTAATGTGCCAAGATGGCTCTGCAAAATAGCTACACAATTAATTACTAGCTAATCTTCCCCTTGGAATAGAAGATCTATGAGGGCAGGATCTTCATTTTGTTTCCTGATGTAACCCTATAGCTTAGAAAAAATGCCTTGCAAGCAGTATGTAATCAAGAAATGTTTGCTGAGTTTAGATTGTTAAATAAATTTTTTGGACCCAGCAACTCATTTTTAAAAAACCCCAAGGTTCTCAATCAAGTTTGATGAAATAATACTGCCTTATGTATAAAATTTAGTGAAATGTCTGATGCACTTGCAAATTGTGAGACAGGTGGAGGTCCTGCATTTATTTAATATAATTAGATGGATTTTTAGTAATTTTGAAGGTCAAGATATAGGGAGCTGGATTAAGCCTTCACTGTGCCACACATCAGAACAGCAGCTTGATTTTGGAAACTACTGGACAAGACATCTCAGAGAAAACAGGGACACGGAAGGTAGAATCATTCACAGGATGAGGCAAGCATTTGGGAGTGAACTCATCTGCAAAATATGGCCAAGGGGACAGTTGCTGTCAGAGAGTGAAGATTAGCATGGTGGTGGCCTCAGCCACCCCACACATGGGAAGGTCAGGCAGCACCAAATAGGATCCTAGCCACAGTGCTATGGTTGAAAGACAGGATTCCAGTCCTTGAGTAGGTTACCAAGACAGTCTTTCTCAAGAAAAATATCATAAGCACTCAAACACCCAAACCAGTGAACCAAGTGGGGACTCTCCCCAGGGACAAGATAGAGAAGACCTTTTACTAGAACCAGCTGCAAAGTCAGCACCAAACTCATAGTGAGGTGGAGCCCAGGCTGTGCTTATCTCACTAAACCAGGACTCATAATTCAGCCTGACCAGGGACTGTCTACAGCCTTATATTCTTCTCTGTTTTCCTGAATCCACCAAGTGCTTTTCACACCCAAGCCTTTGAAAGAGGCCCTTCTCTCTGTTGATTCACTAATTTATATACATCCTTCAGATTTCGGCTTAGCTGTCTCTTCACAAATTTGACCACTTT